AAAGAAGGCTATTTTAGGTATTTCACTTACTTATTTATATTTATTTCTTGAATGGGGTTATTTAAACAAAAAAAGTGTTGAAAGGAAATGACCCTGTGACTATCCCTTTTAATAAAGGCCCGGCACACGACATCACAGCATAATAAGCCCAACAAAACCAGCCCAACTGTAGAGTCCGAATCATCTACCAACATAGAGCCTGAGAGGAGCCCAAAAGATCGATGGGGGTGATAACCGGCCGAGAGGAGCCCAAAAGATCGATTGGGTCAAGTGATCCGATCGCCTGAGATACTATCCACGATGGAATAGGTGACCTGTAAAAAGGGCAAAATGGTTCTCCCAGTGTTAACATTCCGACTGTCAAGTTCGTGAATGATCTGAAAGAGGAAATCGAATTTCAAATTTTAGGTCGTTTAGCCTAAAAGGTAAGTCATTATAAATTTCTTAATAATTGGATTTTTGGTTCAATTTCTTCATAGTTCATCTTGATTGAGCAGCGCTTAATAAATTAAATTGCACCTCTGTTTTGAAATTTTTTATGATAATCTATGCTTATTACTATAATGAGGTTTTCCTATGAAGATGTAAAATGTATTAGTGTGATTGTGTAATGACAAAAGAGAAAAGACAAGCTTTTTTATTTATTTATTTATTCCATTTTGGCACAGCTCTGTATGTGCTCCAACATGGGATTTCATCTGTTACATCGAAAATTTCTGTGTTGCTCAGTTGCTCAAATTTGTTATGGTGGCAATGTTGGTGTATTTCGGTGAGTTTTTTAATTTTTTTCCCCCAATTTTTACGAATTACAAATAATCCCCTCGAATCAAACCAAACCCGAAAGGTTGCATCCCGTGAATCTTTAGCCGGTAACATATAATTTCATCCGAGCATCTACATTATGTGTAGCTTTTCTTAGAATTCAAGCAATTTCTTGCCGAATTTTTTGCACTTAGTTTCCTTTTGAATTGATAATAACTCAATCATATGCAGTGCTCTTATTCTTATACCTATTGTACAATCTTGGAATCTGCCAATGCATTTGCCGCACGCTCTTTAGAATAACGTGGGCTTGTTTTTCCACTTGTTTCTCCTCGTTCGATTTTTGCTGCTCGTATTTATGTTACAAGTTACGAACGATAAGGAGATTGCGTAAAAGGAGAAGGAGAAAGAAGGACATTGAAGAATTTGATGGACAAACGAGCCCATATATCTCTAGTGAGGATGATGAGTACGAATTAGAAGATAAGTCTATTGATAGTTATTTTGATCACAGAGGATCACGTTTTAGTCGAAGGAGAAATTATAAAGTCGAGCATTTGAGGAAGTCTTTAAGGCCGACCAACCATCGAGCACGAGTGGAGCTTTCGG